TCCTTCTGTGGTGTTCCTGCAAAACATAATTATCACTTCCTTTTAGGTACCCAAGCTTGCTTGTGTCCTTGTTGGTTAGTATTACTGGACTCAGGATTGTTTTTGGTTTCCAAATCCATCCTGAGATATTTGATTTACGAAATCGACAAAAAGAATATTTATGTCCACTTTTGTTACAGTAGTGATATGTAAGTCCTGATCCACATTTGGATCTTTCATTTGTGCTAGTACTAGTAGATTGTGTTCTAGCTGGTCCTTCTCCAGTTGACTTGTAAGTCTCCTGGTTCGACTTGACAGAACTATGACTGATGGATTTGCGCATGCCATTGAGTTGCATTTGCAATTCCTGAAACTCATCTTGAAGTACTTCTTTTTCAATTTCGCATACTTCAAGCTTGAGTTTCCAGTCTTTTACATCTTTGTTGAGTCTCTTTAGTTCATTTATCATTTTTTGAGACTCTTTCAAAGTAAGGTCAAGAATATCCTACAATTCATTACATCTTTCACAGTTATAAGATCTTACCTCACTTGTTTTACCTTGCGCCATGAAACAGTTCTCATTGTCATCTTTGCATTCGTCATCTAAAGTGTCCTCATCTGTCCAGCACCCTGAGAGTTTGTTCATGTCATTTTCTAGAATTATCATGAAACATAGTTTTGCTATCTCTTCGTTTTCTGAACTGTCTTCATCACTCCAGCTTCCAAATGATTTGTTCTTGTTAAAACCTCTGGAAACCTTTCTTTTAAGATCAGGACACTCAGCTTGAACATGCCCAAATCTTCCACACTCATAGCATTTGCCATCATTTTTGTCTTGTTCGTTATATTTCCTAGTTCTCCTAGGTGGTATCCTGCCTCTTCTTGTATTCCTGTATCTCCTCATTAAAGCATCCATGTTCCTTGATACCATGGTAATTTCTTCTTGAAGAGCTTCAGGGTCGTGATCAATATCATTGTCTGCTCTTTCAGTTGTAGCCTTGAAAGCAACTATTTTCTTCTTTTTTTCTTGGTTTGTTTTCTTGAGATGAGTTTTCTCGAAGGCTATAAGTTCTCCTCGAAGTTCATCGTATGATAATTTTTTCAAATCCTGTGATTCAAGTGTAACCACTTTTGTCTGCCAAGTAGTGGGTAGACTTCTCAAAATTTTCCTAACTTGATCACCACTTGAGTATGGTTTGCCAAAAGCTTTTAGATCGCTAATGATTTTGCTAAATCTGGCAAACATGTCTTCAATGTATTCTCCTTCTTTCATCTGGAAGAGTTCGTAGTCATAAACCAATATGTTGATATGGGTTTCTTTTACTTTACTGGTTCCTTCATAAGTAACTTCAAGTTTATCCCACATCTCTTTGGCTGTATCGTAACTGGAGATTTTCTCATATTCCTCACCACTTATAGCATTATAAAGTAGATTCCTTGCTTTAGCATTAACTTGCACAACTTCCATTTGTTCATCAGTATATTCATCTATATCTTCAGGATCAATAGGTGGTTTAGCAGCAGCCGACAGAGGATAGTTCCGCTTTTTGATAACTCGCCAGACCTTGACATCATAATACTTTGCGTACACTTCCATATGCACTTTTCAGTGAGAGAAATATTGTCCATTGAAATATGGTGGCCTTACTTGCGATGTTCCTTCTTGGAAGAGTGCTCCGACAATAACTTGATTAGCCATGATCTTTTCTCACAAGCTGTTAAGCAAAAGAAAAATGTGAGCCTTGCTCTGATACCAATTGAAAGTTCAGGGGGGGGGAGGGGGAGGTGAATTGCTTATTTTAAAATTTATTATTATAAGTTGACTGGTTTTTCAATTAGTCGACTAGATGTAATTGTGAGAAAATAAAAAGTGCAGAATTAAAATGCAGAAGTAAGGTGCAGGAATTAAAGACACTAGAGTTTTTATACTGGTTCGGATTCACTGTGAATCCTAGTCCAGTCCCCTTGGGTTGCAAGGGAGTTCTCTTTCAGTGATTGAGTTTCTTGAGTACAAAGTGAATGGTGTAGTTTACACAAACAACTCAGTTTCTATGTCACTCGTCTTTTCTTGATACAATGCCTCACCAATATTTTTCTCTATTTCTTCTCTAACTTGTTACACAATAGATCTAGTAGAGCTACAATGTTTGTTTGAAGTAGAACAAAGAGAGGGTAATTGGTTTGATCAAAGTATATCTCTCTAAGACTTAAGGTTGGTATAAATACTTTGTAGGAGACCGTTACTGAAGAGATTTTCCAACCCAAGAGATTTGATCCTTGGAAAGAAATTAATTCTTTCCAAGAATAAGGTTAATTCCCGTTACTCTTCCTTGATGTGTGGACTTTGACAACTTTCCATTTTTAAGTCTTGATAGTGCCAGATTTGCTCCTTAATTCTGAGTCCTTCCAGTAATAGCTAGTGATTGATTATCTTGCTGGATCTTCAATGCTTCTTTTCCTTTTTAACTCTTCAATCAATCCTAGATTGATTATCTCGCCGGATCGTTAGTGCTTCTTTTCCTTTTGAATGCTTAATCTTGGTTGATTTTCTTGAGTCCCTACACCAAAAGCAATTATATTATTTTTTATCATTAAAACTAAAACCTAACACAAGTTACTTCGAGTCAACCAGAACTTCGAGTTACTGGAAGGATATGAAAGGAACAGCAAAATTCAGTCAACCTCTTTTAGTTTTCATAACTATTACTCCTTTGTAAAAGAAGCTGCAATTCATGAACACTTGATCAATTTACAAAAACTATAAGAACAAGACCTCTGGCATTTGCCGGAAAGTTTTGTGCCAGTTACTTTGCTACAAGGAATTGCAAATTTGCTTTGAACTTTACGAGATTACTCATCTATTCCCCTCTTGTCTTACATTATCTTTATGTAAGAAGTGAAGAGCTTCCCCACTCCAAATTCCTTTAGAATAGTATTGTGAAGTATCTGCATGAGTTTGTGCAAACACTCTACAAAGTTGAAGGGAACCATAAATGTCATATAGAAAAAATAAATACCCTAAAGAAAATAAGGAAATAAGACGATATGAAAGAACTCCCCATACTCGAGATATGGTATGACTTCATCACAATTCTTCAGTATGTATATATGTGCTTGTTCCAATTCATTTGCTTCAAGCTCACATGGATCTTTGGCTCCCAAAGTACTTCCAGGTTGACAAAATATAGATAATCATGCATTAGATTTTTTTAACCCCCCATCATATTTCCGTTCAGACCAATTGAATTTTTTCTCAATCCTATGTAGATACCTTGAACATAAAGTCATACATTCATTTGCAATGTAACCCTCTGCATCAGAACCTTCTGGACATGCCCTATTACCAATGAGAGATTTCAAAAAATATAGCCATCGTTCTACAAGATACATTCACCGATAATAAATAGGTCCAACAATCTTAACTTCACTAGCTAAATGAATAGCCAAGTACACCATGATATCAAAAAATGAAGGAGGGAAGAATTTTTCTAATTTACAAAGTGTTATAAGAATGTGTGCTTCAATATGTTCCAAGTCATGAATCCTTAACTCCTTTGATCCAAGCACATTAAAAAATAAAGATAACTCAATAAGCGGTTCACATACTTCTTTGGACAACATACCACGAAGTGCAAGGGGGAGTATATGTTGCAAAAGAATGTGACAATCATGACTTTTCAACCCAGATATCTTGTGATCTTTCAGGTTTACACATTGAGAAATATTACATGAAAATCCACCAGGAACTTTTAAATTCTTTAAGAAAAGGAATAGTTTGTGCTTACCTTCGGGAGGCAATGTGTAGCATGCATTTGGAACTTCGACTTTCTCCCCTTTTTTGATGGGGTGCAATTCCGGCATATTGTTCATTTCTTGCAAGTCTAGTTGGGTTTTAATTGTGTCCTTGGTCTTTCCTTTGACATTCATGATTGTCCCCATAATATTGTCACATATATTTTTTTCCATATGCATAACATCCAAATTATGTCGCAACAAGAGAGATTTCCAATATGGAAGTTCAAAAAAGATACTTTTCTTGTTCCAATTATCCTTTCGGTTTTCATGTGATATCTTCTTCCTTTTCTCTGGATCCTTTGTTAATTGTATCCCTTCAAGATCTTGCACTTGATTAAGTATCTCAATACCAGAATGCATTTTTGGTGGAGGCTTTTCTCTTTTGTACCATCAAATAAATCCTTGTCATTCCTCCATTTGTGATTAATAGGAAGGTAATGCCAATGACCCATAAAGCATTGTTTTTACAATTAGCCAATAAAATTGAGGAAGTATATTTATTGCAACATGGACATGCCAATTTCCTTTTGTACTCCATCCAAATAAATTTTCATATACTGGAAAGTCATTGATGGTCCACAACAAAAAAGCCTGCAACTTAAAATTCTATCTAATTGATGCATCAAAGGTCTCAATAATTGTCACGCCACATCCTCGGGAAGCACGACCGACACTCAACTGAGTGAACCCGGCCGGGCAAGCCTGTTAGATACTTTCTACCCAATTAACCCATGACCAAGAGAAGACGTGATTTCATTAATTATACAGTAGGAGTCTCATTCATACAATTCTAAATCATTTCATTAGTCATTGCGCTTTTAAGTCCCAAAATACACATTTCTTAAAGTTCAAGTGGAACAAGTGATCAAGCACAACATGACTTGTTTAACAATTCCAACACCCATATACAACCCACATAGTGTCTACGGAGCCTCTAAAGATAAAAAAGAGAGTAAAGATGGTGCCGACAATAAGGCCCCGGCTGTACCTCAAAAAGTGACCATAATATAAACAAAAGCTACAATACATGACCCCGGAATAAAATAGGACTCACTGAGTCCGCTGAGAAGAGGATGCCGCACTATCTGTGATCCGCACTGTCTGCTATGTAACCACCTGCATCCATTTAAAGATGCAGCGCCCTCGACAAAAGGGACATTAGTACCGTCGAATAGCACTAGTATGTATAGCTAAACACCAACTCAATAGAATGAATAATAACACAAGAGGAATAGTCAAGAATTCAATAAGGGCTTCAAATAATAGTAAAATAACAAGTTAAGGATCATATACATTTTCAAGACAATTTCATATTACTATGTTGGGTGACCTTTAGTACCGATGTTCCACAATTCACAATACCTTCGTATTCTTACACGGAGTCCGATCTCGGCCCGATCGGCTAGGCCGCCTCATCTAAGACATTACCATGATTTCATTATAACTTTCCAGCACAGAACCACCATGTGTGCGGCATGCGTCCGATCACGGCCCGATCGGCTAGGCCATCTCATTTGAGACATCAACCCTTTTCATAATTTCATCCACACATACCACCGTGTTCTTACACGGAGTCCGATATCGGCCTGACATGCTAGGCCATCTCATTTGAGACATTACCTTTTTCAGTCAATCATCTCACATCGTACTTCTTTCATGTACTTTCGATTCATTGACACTAGTGATTACGATTACAAAGTCATTTTTGGCACTTGGCCATATTTCATAGTTCCAGACCCCTTTTCCATATTCAATATCATTATCAAAATCAATAAGACTCCCCATTCAAGACATTAAATTCATATATGAGCAATTTGGGGATCTTATGCACATAGAGGCTTTTCATACAATTTGGCATAACAACCTTTATTTCGATCTTGACATGAAGTCTTAACATTTCTAACACATATTCCACATTTTCAAACACATCCTCAATGACAAGATAACATGATGAGGCATCTAGAATAAATATTGAACTTACATCCTTCAACACAAACACGTTAGAAATTGCCAATTCTATAATGATCAAGGGCTTACTCCAATTATATGATCACCGTGGGGTACGATTCTAAGAAGAATGGGGTTTAGCCAACATACCTCAATTGAGCTCCTTAAAACTCTAATATGTTCTGGAGTATTAGCCACTTCAATATATTTTAGCAATATAACAAAATTGAATAAAAATTAGGAAGATGAACATGGTTTTAGCTCATTTGAGCATATTATCAAACACTAGGTGTGCATAAATATTGTAAGGCCTTTTTCTTTGTGGAGGATTCCATCCTTCCCCAACCCATTCTCTGTCAGTTTTATCTCACAATCTTCCCACATACTACAAGGATACATGCATTCAAGGTAAGCACTCCCATCCTCATGAATTACCTTACTAATGGCCCATTCTAGTTACATTTTGAAATTAAGAGTTTGGGTGATAGAATCTTACCTATTAGGAAGAAGACCTAGGTGCCTCTCTTGATAATCTTCAAGATTCTAAGTGAGAATTGGAGAGCAATGTGATGAATAGCACTTCTCCCACTAGGACCCTCTCTCTCACTCTAAGAATATCATAAAATATGATCAAAATGGTCCATGGGATGTGTTTTAACGAAATAGGGTCGGTTTAAAACCCCCAAAAATGAAGCTCCGGAACAAGGTCTGCGATCGCATATGCGATTGCATAATCGATATGCGGACCGCATATCGGTGACCAAAATAGCAAAAAACCTGTTCGTGTCTGTGGTCACTATACGGCCCGCAGACCTATTCTGCGGTCGCATTTTTCAACCCAAATAGTCCGAGCCG